AGGCTGATTTGGACCAGTCCAGCCCTTTTTGCTCCCAAAGCAAATTTTTTCTCTCTGCTGCTGTGGGGCTTCTACTTTTTCTAGCCTTTGCGAATATATTTGAATCGGCTTTCCCTGTTGTGGTTAGTTGTGACATATTCTTGTAAAGACCAGGGATGGGGTGAGGGGAGCAGCACCGTATGTCTCTAGGTGGTGTTTCAGTGATGATGTGATGTTCAGGACTGGAAGAACATGCCCATGCATTCTTTCCATTTACCTGCTTGCCCTCTGTATTCTTTTATTTATTTTTTAAAAATTCTACATATTTGAGTTTAGTACTAGATCACCTTATTTCTTGGGTCTCATTGTTAGTATTTTCTGTATTTACATCCCATAAAAGAATTGGCAGAGGCAGGACCAGAGGAAGGAAGGATTGGCAGAGATGCATATTTTCTGTATTTACATCCCATACAAGAATTGGCAGAGGCAGGACCAGAGGAAGGAAGGATTGGCAGAGATGGGACTAGAGGAAGGAAGGAAAGAAGTGGGGGCTGGAGGTTGGAATGCGAATCACATCACATCCAGTATGAACAATGAACTCCCAAGTCAATCTGCTGCCTCATGTGAACATTGATTGAGATTTCAAAGATTATATAGGCTGTGACTCAAATTGCAGCAAAGCCAAATCAGAGCAATTCCAGTGTAGTCACACTCTTAGCTTGACCTGCGTCATGGCCTGGCCTGATTCCTCACTTAATGTGCTTTTCTCAAAAAATATATGGTTCACTCACATCCCTGTACTCTGACAGAGGTAACACTCTTTTGTCACCAGTGTCAAATAAAATTAATTTGCCAATGCAGTATTTACTCTGGATGGAGCACGAAAGGGGAAGGTGCCCCCTTGTCCTCTGTCTCATGCATCAAACCATTTGGGGTAGCCTTAAATAAGAGGCAAAAATTAAAATGTTAAGGTGATTGGAAGAGGGCCATAACAGAGGTAGCAGCCTTATCCTTGCTTTTCTCACAAACAGCTGGGGGGGGGGGNATTAAATAAGAGGCAAAAATTAAAATGTTGAGGTGATTGGAAGAGGGGCAGAACAGAGGTAGCGGCCTTATCCTTGCTTTTCTCACAAAGAGCTTTGGGGGGGGGGGACAGAATCCAACTAACTTCCTTCCACTCTCTCATTGTCTGGCAAGTATTTGCAAGTGGTTTCACATCCACACACACTGGCCAGTGCAACCCCTGAAAGAGCAGTGGTCCTGGACCGAACTTTTAAAAAGTAACTGCTTTATAAGAGCTCATTATTCGGATCATGTGTTCAATTGCAAGAAGCAGTTGCAACCTCTTTTTTCCTTTCTAAACTGTAAAGTGTTTTGAAAAACCTTGTGAGTTCTTATGGCAAGTGTGGATAGACCTGACAAAAGTACAGGAGCTAGCCCTGTTGAACCCTGATGTGGCACAATGCACTTTGCACACGACGCTTCCTGTCGGCAGCCACTGCTTCCTCCCCTTTGCCCCACTGTAGTATTTTTACTGTACCATTCAAGCAGCAAAAGCAGACCAAGAAGTAGCACAGGCTGAAACTGGCATGGAGCTGCCAGGAGCTCTAAAGAAGATAAAAGCAGCCCCAAGAGGCATTTGTAACAGAGATTTACATTCTGAAGAATGTAGGATGTTCATACAGCAAAAGCCACCAAGCTTTCCAAAAACATTTAGTGGACGCACCCCAGCTTTGAAATATTTAAACCTGGGTTAAAGCTCTGTGAGTTAGGGGCAAGCTGGAGTTTTAAATGCCAAGGTTAAAAAAAGGTGGAGGAGGGGAGACAGCAGGACTGCATGTGCCTCTTATCAGGAAACAACTGTATTTGAATAAGCGAAACATATTTCTAAGTTAACAAGCATACAGTAAATTGAATTTGTTTAACCAGCCTGGTTATGTATTTACTTATTTCCCCAATGAGTTCAAGGTAGCACACATGCCTCTGCCTCGGCTCCTCCTCCTTTTAGTTTCACAACAACCCTACAAGGTAGGCTGGGCTGAAATAGAATAACTGGCACCAGGTCACTCATATAGCTCCAAGTATTGTTGAATGTTCAAGCCCAGATCTCCCAAGTTCTAGTCCAACGTATTAGGTGAAAGACTGCAGTTGCTCTCTAAAGTGCAAGATCTTGTGCTAAGCTAACTTATTATTAAGGTAGGCATATGCAAGCTTTTGAGTATGAAAGAACTCTGTCCATGACAGAAAAATTGTGAGAAATGCAGAACAAACCCAAGTTGCTAGGTGAAAAATGCTAGGTGGTCAGATGCACAAGATAACAGGTCTCTCTTCTCTAACCTTTATAGTTGAGAAGAAGCAGGAAACTCAGCAGTGGCGGCTTGTCATGCAAACTGCACCTGCATAAGTCTCCTCTCCTCCACACAGCTATTAACAGAGCAGCCCTGTCCTCTTTTCTGGCCAAGAGCAGTGCTTAATTTAAACCAGAGCACATTGGAGCTTTATCCTGGAATGCGCTTCCAGTGCCAGAGTGGAGTTCTGGAACAGGCAAAGCAGTAACAAAGAGAGTGCTTCTGAGGATATTCAGCAGGTCATCAAGCCCGCGCCATCATCATCATCATCATCACCATCATCACCACCACCAAGTAAGCACGGCTAGTTTTTCCACAACCAATATTGTTACTGAAGGAGCCCAGATTACAGAAAGAGAATGTTCAGAATTTTCGCATCTCTTATTTTAGAAAATTAGCTATTTGTCTATCTGAGTAGTTTTCTTTTTTCTATATATATATGATCCAAGGGCCAAATCGTGTCTCTCAGGTCTTGTGAGGGAGGAAAACTGGAGCAGAAAAACAAAGGACAGGGGAAAAAGTTTGAGGAGCGCGGTGCCACTTTTCAGCTCTCAGTCCCAGCGGGGCAGAGGTAAAATCATGGCGTGCATGCACTCATCATGATAATCCCTAGTCCACAGCCACTGCTTCCAAGGGAAATCCAGATGTGCAGGCAGCTGTGTTAAATCGTATCAACAGAACAATTTGGGTCTCCAACAGGAGAGGGTCTTTTCTAAACCTAATGGGGCATAATGACGCATTCAAGACCCAGCTACCTCAAAAGATTTTATTCCACAGCGGGGATAAATTAAAAACAGTGTATCAGTGACAGGAAAATCCATTTGCCCCTCCAGCTACTGTAAGGCCAGCCCTCCCTTGGGAGGCTCAATTGGCATCAACACTTCCATCATTGCGACGCGAAGTCAAAATATACGTACTTGTTTATTAGAGTCGTTGGGGGGTTGAGGATCATGGCCTGCTCAGGCTTTAATGCAATGGTTTTAATGTTTTAATGTCATGTTTTGAACTGTTTAATTTTAAACTGTTTTACACAGCTCATGTTTTTACAGCTCTGTAATTGACCCTGAGATCTTGTGATAGAGGGTGGGCTATAAATGTTTTTAATAAATAAAGTAATCACAGAGGGATTCAGGAAGTCTGAGTGGAGCAGCAGATGAAGTCACTGTTTCTGATAGTCGTTTTAATGTTTTAATGTCATGTTTTGAACTGTTTAATTTTAAACTGTTTTACACAGCTCATGTTTTTACAGCTCTGTAATTGACCCTGAGATCTTGTGATAGAGGGTGGGCTATAAATGTTTTTAATAAATAAAGTAATCACAGAGGGATTCAGGAAGTCTGAGTGGAGCAGCAGATGAAGTCACTGTTTCTGATAGTCAAAATGTCCTCAGAGGGAATCGGGAAGTCTGAGTGGAGTAGCAGATGAAGTCACTGTTTCTGATAGTCAAAATGTCCTTGTGTTCTAACCCTATGAGTATCACCTTGAGTACCACACTGTCCATGCGGCTGTGCGCCTAGTGTTGTTATGTGCTGTCAATTTGCTTCCAACTTATAGTGACCCTATGAATGGCTTCGTTCCAAAATGTCCTGTCCTCAACTACCTTGCTCAGCTTTTGTAGACTGAGGTCTATGGATTCCTTTAGGGAGTCAATCCATCGTATAATGGGTCTTCCTCTTTTCCTGTTGCCTTCCACCTTTTCCAGCATTATTGTCCTTTCTGGACAATCTTGCCTTCTTAGGATACGCCCAAAGTAGGACAGCCTCATTTTTGTGCCTGTAGTTGGATACATTCGCATGAAATGAAAATCAGAGCCCAAGCCAAGGTGCCTGGTGCAAGGGGTGGCGGCGGAAAATGGTAATATAGCTTTGTATACTTCACAATCACCTTTAGACAGCAATAAAGTCCTGCCAGTCTGTGTTCCCTCGTTTATTGGATCATCCAAAGAGGAGACCTGGGCATAATCCTGAAAAATGTGTAGATAAGTAGGATATAGATTTTGGAATTTGTGCAATTCTGTACCGGACGCACAAGGTGGTCTTTTGTTCAAGCTCCACAAGAAAGAAAAAAGAAAAGAAAAGCCAATACATCTTGTCCTAGCCCATAAAGGTAACTTTTTAAAGTTCTATATGGAAGCAAGGAGACCAAAGACAAGCCATGTGGGGATGTTTTTTTTCCTCACCTTTTTCAGGTAACGTGCAAAGCAGTAATTCGTTTGCTGCAGAACCTGGTACCAGTACAGCAAAAAGAAACGGAATAATGTTACACGCACATATATATGTGTGTAACATTATATACATGTGTAACATTATTCCGACGGTGGAGGTTCCATTCCATATATATATGGAATGGAACCTCCACCGTCCGGAGCAGTATATCTCTGAGCGAGGAGGAGCAACCGAGAACGGCCCAATCCCTGATGTTCTGTTTGCGAACCGGCTGCGGCGAAGATCCTACGGGGCGGCCCGGCGTTTCCAGGTCCCCCCCTCCCTCTCTCAAGCAGCGCAAAACCTGCCTGCGTGTGGCCGCGGACTCCGCCCATCCCCTTTGATCCCACGGTGGCGGCGGGGTCCCCTGCCGCCGCCGCCC